GCTAAGAAGCGGAAATTTTTGGAGATAACATTGCTGGAAGCCTGTAGAGAGGTATGGTATCTTGCTCAGCCACGCACCAGTTAGCCGTGCACGAACCTGGCCTTCAAGAGGGTCATCCTTGTCTGTGCTTGGCCTGCGGCGGCACAGCTGTTTTGCCGCTTGCTTGGCTGGTAACCTGATAGCTCTGATTGGATCAAAGCAGTTTACCATGGAGATCCTTGCGCTTCGGCACGCGTGATGTGAGCCCTCCCATCTTCTTACCAACGTGCCTCGTGGGTTCGGGTTTGGAGGGACCTGATGCAGACTGATGCGCAGGCCAACGCAAAAGCTGTGTGGCCTTGTGTGCGATGTCTTGACTGGGGGCCTTCGGTTGCCACTTTAAACTCTGTGCTTTTAAGGGTTTGGCAACGTGCTAATGACGCTCACGGTGGAATCGGTAGCTGTAGCTACTCACGCAGTGCAGGCTTGGCCTCCTCTCTGGCCGTCTAATGAGACTTTGCTTGTGCGCGTACATCTATCCAGATGGGCGCAGCTGCAAGCCAGGGTGAGCGGAGGACCTTTCGCTCGGAGCTGCTCTGGCTGACCACCATGGAGTGCCCTGGGCCGGTCTTGCCTTGATAGTTCTTGCTGTTAAGTCCCCGCTGACCACCATGGGGCATACGCACGTCTTTCCTCTCACCTGTAACATCCCTTTGCCACTGCGGGTCTGTTATCTGTCCTTGACGATGGGTACGGGATCCTGACCATCGAGTGACGACCTCGGTTCGATTCGAATGATGTCGCACCAGTAGCTACATGATGGTGGTTTTGAGAATCTGGCAGTGTCGCAATTTGCGACTCCCCGCATGCTCTGTGCTGTATGATTGCACCGGGACTTCAACGACGACTTCGAGTACTGAGTGCGTGGGGTTACCTAGTAGTTCAGCGCCTTTGCTTGCTTTGTTTCTTCTGTTTCTTTGGTTCTTGGGTTTGGTGGTTTGAGCGCGCTGACTTCGTTTCACCTGTTATGTCGAGCCCAACAAGACCGGCCTACTGCGCTACTGATGTAGTAAAGAGGCGTCAGTCCAAAAAAAAGCGAGAGCGACATTGAGCCAATGACAATGGCAAACAAACCGAAGGGCATCAAAATGAACCCTGTGAAGGCAAAGGCAATGCCAAAGAAGGTTCCAGCAGAACTGAGAAAGCCGTCAATGGACGAGTCCGAGCAAAAGCGGCAAAAGTTATGGAGAAAACCCCCCAAAGGGGAACCCGGCAAATGAAAAGGAACAACGGTTTGAGCCTCAGATGAAGGCAAGAAGTCACCGACGATGACAAGGAACCAAGACGAGATTGACATTGCAGAGAAGGATCTAGAAGGGATTAAGTGGAGTTTTCTGGACAAAAGAATTGGCAATTCTCTGGGCTTTTTCGGCAACAACCGAGGCAAGAGATATATGCTCCCAAAAGCACCAATTAAGCATGAATCCTCTCATAGAGACGAAAAATTCATAATTGGTGCTTTTGGGCGCAGAAGTCGCATGCACTGAACTCAGAAAGGCTCTGAATTGGTGCTTTTGGGCGCAGAAATCGCTTGCGCTGGTTTCACCCAAAGACGAAAAATAATGAAAAGAAACTTCTACAGCCTCGTAATGGATGTAGAGACTTTATGCTTTCTTTCACACCAAAAGAATTGTTTGAAGGATATATCATCATCAGGATGATGCCTCCGCACAGATTGGAAAGCCCCACGGTGGTGGGTTTATTTGCCCAATTGTGGCCCGTCTCACTCGGATTCGCTTGCTTTTTTGTTTGTTGTGGTTCTGGGAGTTCTCTTTATTATTTTATTTAAGATGATTTTTCAACTCTTTCTTTCTGGCGATAATTGGTGTTTTTGGGTGCAGATACCACTTACACCGTAGTTGGTTTCACTCATTTTGCATCTTAATTTATTTGATGTGATTTAGGGAATTATGTTAATAATCAACGTCTCGGATGACTGCAAAATTCCTCAACTTCTCTGCTGTGATTCAAATTGCCACCATCCCGAATTAGAAAAAGAATTTGGAGACTTGTGCCCAACAAATGGCCATGGACTCAACCAACTCAATCAAATCTTGGCTCACTCCCCTACATAAAAGGGATCAGATTCACTGAATAGGCAATGCTGATAATTGGCGATGCATCTATCAGTGCATTGTGCATCTTGGCCACCTATCCAGAAATTGCGAGCCTGTGTATCAGAAAACGACGATATAGGACACCCTTTTGCCCGATCCCGCATTTTGGAATGCAATAGATTCACGATTGGGGCTTCTTTATGTTTGATGGTTTCAGTATTGTTCTTGTTGCCAACAACTGATGGATCCTCAAGGCCACCATGTCTCTTGGCATGTATAGGTCAAGGACACAAACAACTCATGCACACCACGCTCCGCAATAGTGTTTTCCGAGTGGCTCGTGCCGCAGGAAGCGCCCCAGTTGGAGCCTTTGAGTCTTTTGCCTGATGATCCACGGGTCGCCCAGCTGATATCTTGGTCAGAGCGACGCCCCAAACTAGTTCTTCAGCATGGCAGAAGTTTCCCCGTCTTGCATTGGACTGTGTGACAGTTTTGCCCTTTGTAACCCATGTGCTTGGAGAGAGTGCAAATCACCAACTCAATTCGTGCAGCCTTTAAGCATGCGGAGCGGAAACGACTATCAGTCGCATGTGGGCCTTGAGACGGCTCGCCGAATTCGGGGTGGTGGCGGGTCCTTTGCACGGGCCGGGGAGTGGAGGAGTTTCTCACTTTTCTCTCTGTCTCGAGGATCATGACGAGATCCATTTAGTGGACGTTCCTTCTTGATTTATATTTGTGGGAGCATAAGTCTTGAGAGGGATTGGATACAAGTTTCATTCCCAATCTATTTTACTTTGAAGCTAGAGGTAGCATGAAGAATTCCAAATGGTATTTTTTGGGCGCAGAAGTCGCTTGCCTCGTCTTCCTTGTAATTGGTGCTTTTGGGAGCAGAAGCCTCTTGTAGAATATTAGACGACCCACAGATCCTATCATGAATCTCGCACGCCAGGCTACCACCATAAGTCTGCATATACACCCGGCGTTACTTCTGAAACATAAGATACAATCCTCTTTATAAATCAATCGAAATATGAATGCGCAACATGGATTGGATACGACCCTTCTATAATCCCTATTTCGTAGCGATCGCCTCACAAATCATCTGCAAAGGACGTTATCCTTCCAAGGCCAACCCCCCCCAATAATTTTTGAAAATGATCGACTCATACCCAAAATCCTTCAATTACCCCACATTCATGGTTTCGCACCATTTCCTACAAAAGACCTCCGATTCAAGAAACGCCGCATTTGACAAATAACAGAAACAATATCTGACATATAACATTGATATACAATCGACGATGCAAGAGACGTATACTCCCAAAAACACCAATTAAATATGAATCCTCCATAGAGACGTAAATAATGAAAAGAGATTGCAATAGCCTCGCAATGGACGAAGAGAGATTTTATGCTCGACCACATTCCAAAGGAATTAATTGAACAACCAACATCTCGGATGACCACAAAATACCATCCATACGAATCCTCAAATTCTCTTCCATGCATTCAAATGCCCACCACCATTCCGAATTAGAAAAGAATTTGAAAATTCGTATCACGATCACAAGCAAACCAAGACCCCAATAAATGACCATGGACTCAATCAATTCAATCAAATCTTGGCTCATTCAATAGGCCATAATCCTATATAAAAGGGATCAGGCGCTTTCAATAGACGACAATCCTATATAAAAGGGATCATCCTGTCAATAAATCATCGCATCTGCGACCCATAGATCCTATCATGGATCTCGCACGCCGGACTACCACCACAAGGCTGCATACACGCCCAACGTTGCTTCTGAAATATAAGATACAATCCTCTTTATAAATCAATCGAGAGACGAATACGCAACGTGGAATGGGTACGACCCTTCTATAATTCCTATTTCGTATCGATCGCCTCACAAATCATCTGCAAGTGGTATTATCCTTCCATGGCCAACCCCCCCATAATTTCGAAGAGGATCGATTCATATCTCTCATTCATGAATTCGTATCATTTCAATTCTTCAAAGCGAACTTACATTTAGTATACGAATTGTCTAACCACAGAAATCCGATCAGTGGTAATATCGTCGAGACTTCTGTTCGAATACCACCAGGGTGCAAGCGACTTCTGCGCCCGAAAAATACCAATTAGAATTCTTCATGCTACCCCGAAGTTACCATTGAAATTACCACACTCGCTGAAGGGAATAGAGATTTAATAATAAAATCGAATACTAATCGTGGAATTATCGTCAAGAAAATGCGACGATAGAAAAATATATCTCGGATTATTATTTAGAATTTGGATTTATCTATCAAGAGTATGGCGACTCTCAATCGTCGTCTATGGTCGGTACAAGCGTTTTCTATGCCCAAAAGCACCTTTTAGAAATCTCCATACGAGAGAGATCGCTTACCATCATGTTCAAGGTGCAAGAGACTTGTGCTCCCAAGAACACCAATTCACTATGAAATCTTCATGAAGAGAGAGATGACGAGAGACAGTGCGAGAGACTTCTGTTCTCTTGACTTCTACTCCCGCAAGCTCCAATTGGTCCAGCTTCGTGATTCGATCTAACATCGAAAAAGAGAGGAGACTTACGCTCCATTTATGAGACAAGGAGACTACCGGATGCCAGAAGAAAACAGAAAGATCCAAGAGCAAGCGATCATAGGACCTGCAACCAATTGAAAGGCCCGCCACCACCCGAATTAAGCCCCAGGTCCCACGATCGCAAGAAAATAATGGAGAAATCCTCGGCATCCACACTTCTCGTCGAGAAACCCTATACAAATGGGGATTAAACAAACCATCACGATGGGCGGCAGCGCGCCACTGACGGCAGCAAACACCCGCGTTTGGATCACCTCAAAAGGAGAGATAGCCTGGCTCCAGATATTCGAGATGACTTACCCACTACACTCGTGAATGAATCTCCTAATGTGCCCCTCCGTGTCGCCCTCTGCGAGTTGGGCGGTCCGGCAACGTTCAAGAATATGGGATAAGCCACGTTGGATATCGATCGAGATCCGTCCTTTCAAGAAAGATTTCGTTGACCCATCAGATCTACTCAAGACTTTGTCGCATTCTTGACAGAGGCTTTTCAAAAGTTGATGGGCTCCGAACTCGCATCCTCCCATAGTTTCGAAAACGATGGGTTCAAAGCCTATCTGTTGTGCTTGGCACGCTTCCTGGGTGCCCCGATCTTGACGTTTCTTCTCTGCGTAAAAACGCGCGGCTGCCCCTATTTCCGCGACGCCCCTCCCGATTGAAGAGAGCGAGAAGGGGGAGACCAAGGCAAAGTCAAGAGCGAGCTGTGAATACCGACGCCATTGGTTTTGACGAAGAAGAGGGGTACTCATGAGGAGAATGTCCGCCGGTCGACGTTCGAGATCGTGAGGAAGCAAACTTCCGGGTTCGAGTTTGGGTCGCATTCCGGCCTGGTGGGCCGCGCGGAAGATCGTATCTCGAAGAGTATAGTGCATTCGAGTTCTCATACCTCCTGCCATGCAAGTCGTACAATGGTGACCGAGAAGATCGAGGGCTTGGGGGCAAAAGGGACACATGTTCGCTTTTTCGAGAACCTCGAGACCAAGTCGCAAAGAAATAGAATCAACGACTGCAACATTGGACAGAAGGGTGTCGAAACAAGAACTCGGGACGACGTTCAACCAACCGTCGGCCCAAGGTGCCCTACAAGCCTGGAATCTAGCTACTTCTCCTGCAGGAAGGGCTTGGAGGAGGTAAGCGCCTGACTTCTCAATAGCAGCTTGATTGAGATCTCGCTGCTTGAGAACATTGGGGCCATCTCCTAAGATGGAAGTCGGGAGAAGTTGTCTCAAGGATCGAGTAGCTGACTCCTCGATGGGATCGATTCCCATATCTCCAGCAATGCCCAACATTCCTCGAACCTGTTCTCTGGTGGACCGGCATGAACAAACCATGGCAATGTCGGCTCGAGAAATGAAACCGCCCTGAACAGCTATCCGGTCGATCGTCAGACCTAGTCCCCCGGCCTTCGTCGGAAGCGTCGCTTGGATCCATTGTCTGTCGGTCAATTGTCTGCCTAGAAGGTATTGAAGAGCAACACGTATGCGTTCACTATGGGCCTCGAGCAATGGTTGAAGATGGGAACGACTGATCGTACGACTACAATAAGACAACTTCGGGAAACTCATGCATTTCTGCAATAAGTGCAAGGCCACGTGTTTGTGGGGCAACTGTTCTATAGCCGTCACAGCCTCGTCGATCGCAGCGATTTTGAGGCGGTTCCATTCTGCGTAAAAGTCTTCCCGACCGCTGATGGGAACCTGAAGCATCTGAATGTCGATTCCCTTCACGATTCGAATTCCGAGAGCCTGAAAGGGTCGAAGGTCAGCATGGAAAGCTTCCCCTGAGAGGAGATAAAGAGTAGTTTTGCCCATGTCAAAGTGAAGTCCGTACTTCTCGGCGAGCGCAATTTCCTGCTCGAAAATCGCCCATACTGAAGCGACAGGCCCCCCACAAAAACCATCGTCCGCGAACTCAGGGTCGAAACAAGCATGGCTTCCCCCAGCATTACCGTAGGCTTCTTCATACATTCGTTTCCTGGCCAAGCAGAAAAGAGACCCCATAAGGGGGCAGCCTTGCTGTCCGCGAGCGGATTGCATCAATCGACCATGGTACACGAGGTGATTAGGGGCCCCATAGCAGAATTCGGCGAACTTACTAGAGGCCGTGGCGTACTGATAACATTCGTCCAAGAACATGTGAGTGTGGACAGAATTGTAAGCATTAGAGATGTCTCTTTGCAGAAGAACATAGTCGGTTTTGTGGTTGTTAGCACGAATCCATGCGCGAGCGGCGTGGATCATTGCCTCGGCCCCCGAACGGATTCCTACTGCAACTTGTTGGGGAGCAAGACGACTCTGGATACTTTCTTTGTCGAGAAGGAAAGTTGTCTTGAATACCAATTTACGCCAAACTGTCCCCATGACGATAGGACGAGCGTCCTGGTCGAGCGGGACGGCTCGCCCATGAGCGTCTCTTTTGCCTATGCCCACCAGGGTCCCCCCCCCAATCCAAGCACGGAGCGCGATTGGCGCGTGTCCTTCCGCAAGGAGTTGAACGAAATCCCGGACTAACTCCACGAAAGAATCTACATCCCCTGTCTCGCCACACAGAAGCCGTAAGAAATCCGCGCGCAGTCCATCTGGACCTGGGCCTTTACCAACCTGGAAGGACTGAAGAGCCTTGAGGAGGAGCGGAGCAGGTATTTCGGGCGTATTTCCGGGAACAAGAGCGGGGCTCCTAGGAGGTATGCTTGGGGCGGGGAATTTAGCCGCCAGCTTGGCTTGCACAGCAGGAGTGTCATGCGCGAGCCCCGGCGAAAACAAGCGTTGAAGGGCCTGACCGGCTCGACCAGTCATCACGAGACGTTCGACATTACGATGCAGTTCGCCTATGGCTGGAGAAGCAGCTTCCTTAGGGGCTCGGGGGCACTTCTGGGCTTGAAGGGCATCTTTCCAAAGTGTAGCACGCTCACCCAATTTCCATCTAAGGAGTAGGGCCCGTGAAAAATTGAGGGATTGCCGCGGTTTCTGACCCTTACCAAATTGTCTACAGATAGTTTTCGGAAACATGAGGAGTTCCGTCCATGCCCTGCGGCAAGCCTGTTTGGCCTCGGAGTCAGCAGAATTCGTTTCCCAAGCGTCCCACCGGTTGGTCCGCAACACCGCAGCGATACATTTGCCATATTCCTCTCGCGCAAGCGGGATCAACGATGGCGGATAGAGTTCCTTAGTATAAATTGGTTCGGTAAAAATTGCTTTGAGGGTTGGAAGTTCGCTCTGGTCATCTATGGCATGGTTCTCGGGCATCTGGGGGCTGATGAGTTTGGGCCAACATCGAGAATGCACCCCTTCGTGAACGCGAAGACTAGCCGAAAGGCCACAAACCCGACAACAACCTAACTTCCGATCGCGAAGCCATTGTTGGGTGGGCCTCCCCGGGAGCTCCCCAGCGAGGTGAAGATCCACATGAGCCCTGACAGCATCCACGCTTTTCCATCCTGGTCCTCCCCCCCCGAGGCATCGCGGGCAGCCTTCAACAGGACAATAATGTAATTGACCCATCAATAATCGTCTACCCCCCTGTTGTTCCTCCGCAAGCAATTGTTCGCTAGAGACATCTTCCCCAAAGAGTTCCCGAAACGTCGCCGCTGTCCCATCATCTCCGGCCCTAGCCCGCGAGCCAGCAATCCCCCCTGCTTGAGAATCTCCCATGGCCTCATCTGCTCTGCGCCGAATCTTCCTACCTTCGTCGATGTCCATATCGTCTGCCTCCCTCCGTGGGAAAGCTGGCCAATGATACACCAGAAGGAGCAATCCGATTCGAGTGGTCCATGGCATGTAGCCAGAACAAATACCGGCATGAATGCATGATAGGACCCGACAAAGAGGGATAGGGAAGTGGATATCGGCCCAATATACGAGAATCCCGCAGACTAAGATGAGAGAGCGCACCCAATCTAATCGCGCAGCGAGTTCCAAACTCATGTAAAAGAGGTACGCCGGGGGAACGAAGCGTTGTCCAACATCTATGATAAGTGACTCCCGGAATATCCCACGGCCACACACTGAACCAAACAACCTTTCTGACACCGCAAAGAATGTCCCAATCCAAACCTCCCAACATTGGCTGAGGAAGTTGTCTCCGCCGCCGAGGGAGCTTTTACGGGCGGAACTGTTGCTACCGCGAACGTTGGCTGCACAACTACGTGTGTGGTGTAAGAAGAACAAAGAAGCTGCGTTAATCCAAGTCGATCTGCGGATTCTACTTGCCTCCCCATGAGTGACACGCCTTTCTACTTGTGGCTTCCAATCCAAAGGCGCCCCTTCGAGACCAACTTGGCAAACTAGGAATCCCCAAAACAGAACCTCAAACCAAGGACACGCCCATCTCTGAAATCTCTCCCCATAAGACCCCCGCCCCCTCGGCATCCAAGTGTAAGAGGGTGGTCGCACCCTTGTGGCGCGCAGCCGTCAGCTCAACGACTAGGCGTGGGCAGCGGGGGGCGCTTCCAAGCGCCACGAGCGGGCGTGCATGGCTTGGACACAAGGCTATTCCCGTTAAATTAGAATTATCGATTCTAAGATATACTAGAGCTGACCCGCTGCTTCCAGCAGCGGCGCGCAAGACGACGACGACGGCGCACGACGCACGACGACACGTGCTTTGCATAGAACCTGCTTAACCAAGACAAACACTCGGTTTCAAATTCGTTTCCATAATTCCAAAATAGTTTTAAAATCTATTTGTAAAAGCGTTGTTAAGTGGAAATTGAATTTTATAAGGGTTCTTGATTTTCAAACAATGGGGGCAGAAATTATAATTCACCCTTAATAATGATTTTGCAACTGGATTTTGAAACTAATTTGAAATTATTGAAAAAAATTTGAAAAGCACCATATTCCGCACTTTCTATCCCTATCTTGGCCCCTTACATACACTAGGGACCAGAATATCCGAAATTTACCAGTCTCCAGACTATTGATGGACGAAATCCTGCATCACTTTTATTATGCAAATCATCCCTTCCAAACCCTGAATCTTAGCATTGTTGTCCTTATAATACTTCAAAAGTGCATGCGTGGGAATGACCGAAAACCAATCATCGCACACGTATAACGTCGGGGGCCATACAAGATTTTCTCCATCCATAATATGAAGTCCCCTTTATAAATCAAAAATCAATTTGGACAAATAAACCCTTCGAGAATACCCTATTCGTTTCTTCAATCGGGAATCAATTCATTTACATATATTCTCCAATAATTTCAATCCTCCTCTCTCGATTCTTCCGAAACTCTCGAAGACGATCGATTCAAAACCAATGTTCGCGACGGCGCACGGCTCCATCTAACCTTTTGATGTCGCTTAGGCTCCGCGTACTTCGACGCCGAGTTCAAGGTGGTGCGAGTTGCCTCACTCAAATGAGATTATAATATGGGAGAAGTCGCCGCCAAATCCAAAATTAATCGGAGAAATTTCCGTCACGAATTGGGCGTCAATGAGGGCGGGGCCACTATTAATGTATCAGCCGATCGCAGGTGCGCGTCGTCAGCTAGCAAACCAGTTGGTCCGGTCTCAATCCAGCCAATTCAATATATCAATGGATAATATCTCGGAGTGAATTATGGATTCCATATTTGTTGCCCTGTCGTATACAAGTCAATATATGATATTCCAAAGGATCCAACAGCTGACCACAATAATTGCATCCCTTGCCTTCACTAAAAACAGGCATTCCCAGACGTAGATTGACAACATCTGAAAATGCAATATCAGGGACCACTAAGTCTCGAATTGGCGAGGGGTGAGCATGAAGCCAAGCTCCCGTTCCCGGCGCCGCAACCGCGCAAATGTGTGCCTGATGGGCGAACATACTTCCTTGGATGAGGTCCTCATGCACAGTTGCGTATATATTCTGCAATATGTGAGCCTGATCGATGAGCCGATTGGAATCTGAAAGCAAATCAGATTCGTAGGATAGAAGATTGATAAATATTGAATGGCTTGCATCTCCATCGCTGCGGCAGTTGGCAACATACGCAGGCAACAAACGTGCGATATAAGCATAATTTTGGCGCCGAGCGGGGACGTAAGCGAGATCGCCTATATGGAAGGTTCTCATATCCATTTCATATCTATCGCTCAAGATGCCTAACCCCCATTTGATGGGCAAGATGTGGGGGCCAAATGAAAACCAATACGATATACCCCATCGTGCCAAAAGACCGCCACCACCCCCAATTAAGGGCTATCCCAGGAAGATGCAAAGAAAGAACGAAGGAACGAAGGTTCCCCAAAGGGGAATCAAAGAATTGAAATCTTGTCAGAATCTCTCCTGCAGACCTTGGGACATATCCAGGAATTATCTTTATCATTTATTTGTCATTTTGTTGTCATTTGCTGCTGTCATTTTGATGCCATTTTTGTGTCATGTTTGTGTCATTTGTTTGTCATGTGTCAGTCAATAGTATTGTAATATTATTATTATAAAGGATCCTACAAAAACGCGCCCAGGCAAAGCCCTCAGACAGGGTTCATATGGGCCCTCCAAAGCCCTCATATTTGTGGTCCCAAATGCGACCCTATTAAGGGACCCATAAAAAATGGGTCCAAACTAGCTGACGATAGGCCTCCTGGGGCCTCAACAAAGGCCTCAGACATGGCCCACATGGGCCTCCAAAATCGATATTGTTGAATCCTTGTCCCTCTTCACACGCGCGCCACGACGACGACGATGATGAGGACGACGTACATTAGGATTGGAGCAAATGATGGATATCAGAAAAATGACAGATCAAATGGCAAAGGGGTCGCCAAAAGACAAAAAAATGACAGAAGGGACGGGATATGACAACAGAATGATTCCAAAATGACAGAAAAATGACTCCAAAAATGACAGAAAACATGACAAAGAATGACAAGCACATGACTCCAAAATGACAAAAAAACTAAGGCTTGCGTCTTTGTTGCAAGTAATCGTCTTATTCATTTTCTGCAAATCACGACGCAGAAAATGGTGACTCGTGCCACGCTTGATCTCACAAGATACCATATATGCGGCCATACTATTACTACTATCATCACCAATACCGACAATACAATCACAAGAAAATGACAACGTAAGAATGATTCAGGCAGAAAACGACACAGAAACGACAACAAAATGACAATAGCAGAATGACTCCAGAATGACTCCGAAATGACTGAAAAATGACAAATCATTTTTTAATGATTTCCAAGACCTTCAGGGCCAAGATTCTTTTAAGTGAAATCCAGAAAGACCACGAGGAATCGTCCTAAGGGAGAATGAATATTCATCTCTCATATCGGGAGGTCGAAGAAGTGTATTCCTAATTCGTATATAATGGATAGATCCATTCATATCATATCCAGATAGCGTGAAACGATTCCCCCTCTGATTTGATTCTGGTCTAGTGCCTCCCATATCTATTTATGATATCTTATATCGTTCGTTTATGATCAATGGCTGGTTTGTATTCTTTTCAATTGGAGAATACGATTGATGATATAAATATCAAATTCGTTATGACAAGATTATAATATAATATTTGAAGGAATAAGATTTCTTTCTTTTCTCATCTGCGGAGAAAATTATTGAATATCTCTTTCAATTAATATTCTTTATTTTTTAGAGATCCGAATATTACGAATGAAGGCTTGCGATAATATATTTGTTTCAGAAATAACATGTTTTTATAATATATTATATAAAGAGGCAAGAATATCACAATTATCGACGATGATTTTAAGATGTGGTTTTTCTCCCTTATGATAGTGAATTTTATTCCAGAAAATCAAATAATCTTTAGAATATCAGAATTATCGGCGATATTTTTAAGATAATATTTTTCTCCCTTATGATAATATATTTTTATCCAGAAGTGTCAAATAATCTTTTCTAATATCTTATATAAAATCTTTTCTAATATAATATATAAAAGACGCAAAAAATATTGAGAATATGAAAATTTGGAAATATATTTATCATAAGATATAATCTATCATTGGGAATATGAATGATTTCAATCTTATGGAACGAGATCTTATAATAATAAAAATAAATATTTGATATATATGATTCTATATCACCTCAGATTGGTGGAACTCCATAAGACCCTCCAATGAATTTGTCTCGGAGATATCCTCGGGACTACGTTGATTAAATAATTCAATGGGTCCAAACTCGCTTGCCCACAGAGAGAGATGGCTTGGGGCTTTTTTATCTTCGTATTATGGAAAGGAGATATGGATGCTTCATATTGCTGATCTCTCATATATGGATGCACATGATCTCCATATTCTTGGGTATCTCCGATAAGGAAATAAATAGGATATTCTCAATTCTTTAAATACGATCCATCGTTTTACGAATTTTGTTGTCCTTCAGCCAAAATTAGAGTCGATAAGATGTGCATTTGATGATCCCCAGGTTCATCCTGTTGATATATTCTTGGTTATTCCACCTGGAATCTACCAGAATCCTCGAATAATCATTGATATTGATATCAT